GAGGAGTGGCTGGTGGGTTTGAACCGCCAGCCTTCTGGTTAGTAGTCAAGTGCCTTAGGCACTACGCTACCAGAGCTCCCAATAAAAAGTGTAGTTATCAATATAAAATTCCTTCCCAAATAACTCATTCACAATTACTGACATTTTTTCCCCCAACTAAAAGAATCCATTTCCAATTTAAGCATAAAAATGATTTTTAACTTAGAAGGTACTATCCTCTGAACCATATTTAAGGTATGGAGTCATTTTTTAAAAGAAAAAAGTGGTACTAATTCATTGGCAAACTCAAAATCTAGAAGAGTTCTTTGATGAGGCATAACTGTACATATGTACATGCATGTGTGCACATACAGACATACATGCATATGAAGGCATACAACCCCTCACATGCATCTGAGGGTACCACTGTATGCAGGCACAGTATAACACAATGATCTGATGGTTTCATCCTTTAAAAAGCAAGCAAAGCAAGACCTAAATAGCTCTGACCAGCCTAAAGAATGTGATTACTTTTCTCTTCATGACCCATCAGTATAGCTTTCACAAATGTTATAAAATGAGTTAGCAGTACTTTTTTGGCTTTCTTTTTTCTAACAGATACAAAGCATCCCTTCCCGCCTGGCACCAAAAACCTAACAACTGAAAGAGAAATCAAAGTCATGTATTTTTCCTTTCATGAAGTCATTTACATAGCAATTTAAAGAAACAAACTGTATAGAATCCAAACTGTCCTTGAACTTGTCTAGTGTAGAGAATCTACACTCACACCATTAATATATTAATTTTAAGTACATTAATACACATAATTTACAATATATGACCCTTCTATTGCAGGCAGCTTTTTGAAGGTAAGAACAAAAAAGAAAGATTTTTTTAAATTTTTTATGAAAAAAATCAAGGAAACAAAAGACTTTTAAACAGAAATATAAATGCCAGCATTTAAAGTTTTTTAAAAGATACATTTTTAGATTATTTTTTTTTTAGTTAGTACATTTTCCTTGGGGGGAAAATACATTTGCGTAGTTTATCCTCCAAACGTATAACTTTGCTTAGAGAAGAACAAGCAGACCCTTACCCCTGGCACTCTGTCACATCGGGCTCCTCAGGTGGCGGGCTACCTTCTGACTTCTTCCAACCGATGACATACTTGCTGGCAGCTCCTTGTCTGTGGTAGGGTTTGGATATTGACCCAGGAACCTGTTGATTGCTACTGTGGGACACAATGTAGACTTTGGATGTATCCAGAGATCCACTATTTTTGGAACAGTGAGCTGAAGGGCTTCCTGAATGGTGTGAACCACTGAGGAGGAAAAGAGACAAAAGCTGCAATACAATCAGATTTCAGCCAGGCTGGCACATATCCAAGTTCCGAGTCATAGTGGTTTCCTCCTTTCCTTCTCTGTGAGCAAAATCAGGGCACCATGAAGTGGAAGCAACCTTCTTTTTTACAAATGTACTATGTTGGAAATGTATCACTTTACACAGTCTAAGTGAGCACATGTGCAAGCTGTAGACCCGTGGCAGGAAAGGATATTAAAATTATGGTCAGTGGAAATCTAGCAGAAAAATGGACAACATACTTAAGCTGACACTTCAAAAGAGAGGGTGCTCAAGTAGTGAATAAACATAAAAAAAGATAGCGAACATAAGTTGTCATCAGGGAAAGGCCAAGCTAAATCATGTGATGAAATGCCATTACTGTCCCATCAGATTGGCAAAAATGGAAACATATTGACCATAACCAGTGTTAACAAGAACCTGGAACAATAGTTACTGTCTTCCTGTTGTGGGGAGTACAAAGTGTACAAAACAGTTTGGAAAACTGTTTGGGCATTACCTAATGAGGTGTTGTACCTATATACCATATGATCCAGCAAGTCTACTCCTAAGTAGATAAACTCTTGCACATGTGCAACCAGAGATATGAAAATGTTGATAACAGCACTATTCTCAATAGTTCTATAATAGTGGTAACCCAGGACATAAAGAGTGGAACAGATATCAGTGAGTAAATATGAGTGAGTAAATTTTGGTCATGTTGTAAGGAGGGACCATTCCCTGGAGAAGGATGTCATGCTTGGTAGGGTGGAGGGTCGACGAAAGAGGGGGAGGCCTTCAATGAGATGGATTGATACGGTGGCTGCAATGATGAGCTCAAGTATAGCAGGGATTGTGGGGCTGGTGCGGGATAGGGCAGTGTTTCGTTCTGCTGTGCATGGGGTCGCTATGAGTCGGAAATGACTCAACGGCACTTAACAACAACAACAACAACAAATATTCATATAAATGGAATATTCCATGAATGATTAAACTGAGGTTACAACTTGGGTGAATCTCACATCTGTAATGTAGGGGAAAAAAAAGTCGCAAAGAATATATTGAGCATGATTTCATTTTTTAAGAGAGTTCATAAATAGCTGAAACTAAACAATACATTGTTCAGAAATGTATAGACACTATACATTACACTAAAAAGAAGATCAAGGAAATGATTACCACAAAATTCAGTCTAATGACGTTTAGTCTCTAGAAAGGAAAGGGGTTGGGGAAGGACAAAGAGAGCTTCCAGGCCCCAGCTGTGTTCAGTCCTCAACCTGGGGGCAGTTACATGAATGATCTCTGTATTATCATACAATTTGACAACAACAGAAAACTCAAGAATCTGGAATTCCTAAAAACAATAAAACAGCAGAATTCCAAAAATTCCAGTGGATAAAAAGTACTGACAGACTTGGGAATTATTAGCATGCTGGACTGCATTCCCACCCCTAGAAATCTAAAAGCTTAGAAATCTTTTAAAATTCAGGGAGGTCAACAACATGTTTTATGAAAAATGAGTAAAAATACAGATTAAGAAGTACTTACTAAATAAGAAAAATTTTTAAAAGGTTTAAATTAAGGGCTTCTGGCAAGATGGTGGACTAGGCAGAAGGATTCCAAAGACCCTCTTCAACAAAGAAAAGGGAAACCAATTAACACAGACACAGAAGATAATCTTGGACCCC